TATATTGGAATAATAGGATCGACAGAGAGTATTGGTCCCTCATAAAACAACAAACTCACGTTCTCACATAGCTACGTTCCTCTCATGATTATGCTTCACTGAGTCTTCTTCTGATAACTTCTTTTGACAATATGGTTGTTTCTCTAGCATGGATTTTGGCACTCCTACTTTCTTCTTCTTTGGCTTCTGCTGCTATCGTGGAACACACTTTCAATGTAATTGGTTTCTTTATTTCATATTTTTGCCATTTTATTTTGCTTCTGCTTCTGCTTCTGCATGCTACGTTACATGTAAGATTCTCTCCTCATTTCATTTTATCTTTTTCTTCCATTATTAGGGTTTTCGAAAAATAAGTGAAATAGATATGATACATATTTAATGGAGAGCAATATTATTTATTTTTCCTAAACCGTATAAATGAAAGAAATGAAGATAAAAAAATGGAGAGAATATTTCATCTTATCTTCTCTTTCATATCTCTCTCTCGGTAGTGCAAATTGTTTACATGTATGATTTCTCTCTTGTTTATCTCTCTTTCTCTTCATTGTAAAATTTGTTGGACAATGGTACATCTTATCATTGAAAAATTAATGTACCTCATATATATTGAAGTTTATGTGTGTGTAATGCAGGTTGGGAACATGAGGATCCAACGGTTGTGCAAGCACCAAGTTGTAACAGCAGTGAATGGAAAAATTCCTGGACCCACTATACGAGTCAGAGAGGGTGACACACTTGTGGTTCACGTGTTCAATAACTCACCCTACAACATCACTATTCATTGGTACATACTTTAGTTTCTCCTCTTTCGAGGAAATTAATTTTTGTCAATGTCATTTAAGAAATCCATTCTCTTAAGAATCAACTAACGAATTAATATTCTTTTTAAACTACTATGTATGTCCTTTGAATTCAAACAAATTTCTTAAAAAATTAACGAAACAACAGAAATGATGTCGTATAGCAAAAATTAAATTATTGCGAATTACACACGCCAGCTTGAGATTTTAGGAAATTGACTTTATAACATACATATATTCTTTTCCGATTGAATTTAAAACGTTTAGCAATATATAATTCACATCCCCAAACCCACCTAAAACTATCATCAAGTTTTATGTGAAACTTTTCTGTTAGTTAAGTAGAAGTTCGTGGACTTTTAAATATTGATGTATATATA